CGATTGAAATGTTGCGGAGCCTGCTTGTAGGCCGAAGGGCATAACCAAATATTCAAATGCCCCTAAAGGGGTGAACATAGTGGTTTTCCATTCATCCCCCTTCCTTATTCGTACCAGGTTGTACGCCCCCCTTAGGTCCAGCTTTGTAAAAATCTTTCCCTTCCGCACCCTTGTCAAAATGTCGTCAATCCTGGGCATAGGGAAGGCTACTGGTTCTGACACTGCATTTAAGGCCCTGAAGTCACACACCAGCCTCGGCTTGTTCGTGTTTTTCTTATCCACAAAAACACTGGGCTGCCCCCACCGCCCTGGACTCTCTGATGAACCCTCTCTTCAGGTTCTTGTCAATGAACTCTCTTAACTCCTGCATCTCTCTGTCTGACATGGCGTACAGCTTGCCTACAGGGAGCTGTGCTCCAGGGAGTAAGTTGATTTGACAGTCAAAGGGTCTATGCGGGGTAGTTGGTCAGCTTCCCTTTCGCTGAAGACGTCACGGAGATCTGCATATTGTCGTGGTACCTTCACGTTCTCTGTTACTTCAGTCCCTGCTAGGGTGGCTTGGACCCCTGCCAAACCCTTTCCCTCTTTGCAGTGTTCTAAGCAATGTGCTGAACCAAAAGAAACCACTCTCTGATGCCAGCCCACCAGCGGATCATGTAACGCTAGCCAGCTCATCCCCAATATAATGGGAGCTCCTCCCAAGGTGGCCACATTAAAAGCTATCAGTTCGGTGTGCCTTGCTACCTTCATTATCATTGGGACGGTCTGCAAGCTGACTTCTCCACCCAACAGCTCCCTGCCATCGATCGTGGTCACCTGCAGGGGCTGCTTAAAGGGATTGTCTGTATCTGGTGTTCAGCTGCAAACTCTTTGCTCATGAAATTGCAGGAGCTGCCTGAGTCCAACAGCGCCTTTATCTTTAGAGGGTGTCCGTTTGGCAGCTCTAGCGTCACTTCTATCACTAGGGCGGGTTTAGGAGGTTCTGGCGTGGGCACTCTCACTGCTCTTTGGCCTGGCTGCTGTGCCCTGACAGTGGCAGCCAGGCGTTGGCTTTTACTTGCTCCGGTATATTTTCCTCTCTTCCATCCACAGCCCCTACCATCCCTTGCCATTCTTTCCTCTGGGGGCAGACTCTGGCAAAGTGACCTGGCTGTTGGCAGAGATAGCATTTCCGGGCGCCTTTTCCCTCCTTCTTTGCCCCCTCACTGGGCTTTGAAACTGCGACGCGCGCTGTTCCGATTTCCATCGGCTCTGCCGGTGGGAAAGTTGGCTCTGGAATGTCTGGAATGCGGAACTCCTTCCAACGTTCCCCTTCCCTTCCCGCCTCCAATGCTCTCGACTCATGGCGAGCTACTATGGCCAGCGCTGATTTGGTCAGCTGGTCCATAGACTCCGCCCTGGGCGCCCGGGAAAGTTCGTCTTTCACAGCCGAAGAAAGCCCTTCTTCAAAGAGCATTTGAATGGGTTCCGCCGATAAGTCCCACCCCAATCTGTGAACAAGCATGGTGAACTCAGTCCAGTACTCACGGACAGATCGGCTCCCTGTTTGCAACCCATTAACTGTCTGCGCACCACTCCCTTTTCAATATCGCTGGAAAACATCAGATCCATGGCGCGAAAGAACTTCATCGTGTCTTTTAAGACGTCACTATTCGCTGCCATCAGGGGTCTAACCCAGTCTCTCGCCCTTTTCAAGATGCTCAATCACGAAAGCCACTCGTGATTCCTCGTCAGGGAATTCATCAAACTGCAGATTGAGGGCATATTGCATTTCTGTCCGAAAACCATGATAGTTTTTGGGCTCCCCCAAACTTCTGCACCAATCCTGGTACCTTTCTGGCGAACTGGGTGGCTTTCCCCTTTGTCTGCATCCTGAGCCCTCCTCTCCTCAAGCCTCGCCGTCTGCATCGCTAGCTGGACCTCCAACATCTGGTACCTTTCTTCCAGGCTTGGACCCGCTCCAGCTCCTGCTTCTCCGGTTCCGGCTGGGTTGCTCATGATACCTTCTCCTGCACAAGCTGCTTTCAAAGACTGTCGGAATGCTGTGATGGGATGATGAGCTGCTTGTGCGTAAAATCGTATCCCTCAGAGTTTGTTCAAGTCCACAAACCTCTGTCTGTGACAGAGCCCTCAGACATGGCTACTCTAGTCACTAGCAGATTCCGACAGTGGTTGCTTTCGTAATCGCTTCCAACATAAAAGCTCCTTAACGGAAACACGTCTTCTGGAATCTCTGCGTGACAGTTTCCGGCGAGGAGTGGGTGTTCTTACAGGAGGTCCTGAAACCTCTCCACTGTTTTCGCTGGAAGTGTCTCTGAGCCATCCCTCCAGCTCAGCTCCTCTCCCCTGCTGGTTCCCTCATCAGCTGCTGCGTCTCTCCCAACCTGTGTGAGCCCTTTCACCTCCCTGTTGGTTTCCTCTTCAGCTGCTGCGTCTCTCCCAACCTGTGTGAGCCCTTTCACCTCCCTTCCGTCCGATGGCAGTTCCCTGACAATAGATATAGATGATATAGATATAGATGATATAGATATAGATATAGGTATAGATAGAGATAGAGATAGAGATAGAGATAGAGATAGATAAATTCCCCCATTTAATATTATATATTCACATCATCCCTGTCCACTACACCACCCTGGCTCTTAGAGCTTATTGACTTCCTTCCCTCCTGCCTCAAGGCTTTCAAAATTAACCTTTATAACATTGCAATTTATACGTTTTCCATTTCTAATTACCCTCATTACAGAAGGACTCAAAATTTAAATAAATATAGAAAGATAGAAAATTTCTCATTATAAGCCTTCGGACGACCCTGCTTGTGTTGTTAATTGCTTACAGTGATCTTTCAGATATTGCATAAATTCACTCCAAACCTTTTGAAATATTGATGGTGCTGGTTTTGGATTTTTCCCGTCAGCTTCGCCAGTTCTGCAAAGTCCATTATCTTCATCTGCCCCTCTTCTGTCATTGGTAATTCTTCTTTTTCCGTTTTTGGGCTAAAAGAATTCTTACCATAGTTGTTGCAGACATGAACAGTCTTTTAGCTTCCCTTCGTATCTCTTCACCCAGTATACCCAGTAAGAAGGCTTCTAGCTTTTTTAAAAAAATGTATTTTTAAAACATTTTCTTTAACTCATTATACATCATTTCCCATAAAGCCTTTGCCTCTTTATAGTCCAGCACATGTGTTAGAAGATACCTAGCTCTCGTTTTGGAAATTATAGGGACAGAAATACCCTAAACTGTAGAGAAACGTATTGCAGCGGCAAGAACGCTACTTGCCCCCAAATGGAAAGAAGCAGAAGTCCCAGCGAAGGAAAAATGGATACAAAAACCTATGGAATATGGAGAAATGGCAAAACTCGCTGGAAGAATAAGAAATCAAGACAACAAACTTTTCATAGGAGAATGGCAAGGGTTTATTTGAACATTTACAGATAAATTGCGAACAGATAAGAACATTGGCAGGATTAGTGCAATAACCTGTAGTTTTATAAGAGTATATACTTAGAGTAGATAAAAAATGAGCAAATTAAGTTAATGTGGATATGCAGAAGATATTAAAAATAAAGTTAGGAACCGTAGAAAGAGGGGGAAGGAAGTCAAGTTTGGAAAGGTTAAAATGATTTTAAAATGAATGAAATGTATAAACCTGAAAAGCATTTTAAAAAATCTTTTTTAAGAAAGAGTTGCAGGAAGGATCAGCTCCAACCATTTTAGGGACGCCACTCTGGCTTTGTGTGGGGTTTACTTCTGACCCTTTTCTTCTCCCGAAGATATCCCACAAGTGCCAGGAGTCCAGGTTCCCAGCTTGATAACACAGTAAGCGTAGGTAATTAAAAAGGAGGATTTGTTGCAAAAAAACCCAGATAGCTCCGGACGGCTTGGACAAAGCCTCCGGCATCATTACTCAAGATGACCCTTCTGAAGGCTCCTTCTGGTGTCTACAGAATATATTGAACCGATGCCCCTTGTGTCTCTTGTTTTGCTTCCTGTCTAGCAGCCCTCCCATTCATCAACTCCTCAGACTTTTTTTTTAAAGCACAGGAGGTTTTATTGTTGAAACACAAATGGAAAAAAGACACCCCAAGTTACATCAGAGAATACAAAATACTTAGAAAACTAAGCCCCCCTCCTTTGGCGCATGATAGTCTCCCCCTGCCCCCCAAACACACTGCACATTTATTCTGTTGGACAACCACAGCGAAATGAATTGATACCTTCCAGCAGCAAAAGTCAGCTGCAGGATGCTCTTACTGTGTATATTGAAACTGCCCAACATGCACAGTCCCAACATCCTGGTCTGTTTCAGCTGTTTAAAAACAACATCACCATCATTGTGTTCCCAGAAATGAAGATTTGGTTTCATAAAGATTCTGTTAAAGAGAGCTTTGTAAACGCATAAATTGGCTTGTATAAAATCCACATAATTAAACATGCTCTTGTACAATTTTGGGGGACGCGGGTGGTGCTGTGGGTTAAACCACAGAGCCTAGGACTTGCCAATCAGAAGGTCGGCAGTTCGAATTCCCGCGACGGGGTGAGCTCCCGTTGCTCAGTCCCTGCTCCTGCCAACCTAGCAGTTCGAAAGTGCGTCGAAGTGCAAGTAGATAAATAGGTACCACTCCGGCGGGAAGGTAAATGGCATTTCCGTGCGCTGCTCTGGTTCGCCAGAAGTGGCTTAGTCATGCTGGCCACATGACCCGGAAGCTGTATGCCGGCTCCCTTGGCCAATAAAGCGAGATGAGCGCCGCAACCCCAGAGTTGGCCACGACTGGACCTAAGGGTCAGGGATCCCTTTACCTTTACTGTACAATTTTGCCATTTCAGGTGGAAATCACTCGCGCAAAGTCACAGGCTCCAAACGAGGGATGCAGCTTCCCAAGGGGCAGAGAACTCCCATCCATATCAAGTAATGAAGAAACTTGATGCCGGATCGTCAGCTTCGTAAACAGGTGCACATTTTTTTCCAGGTTGGCTCCCTGCCAGCCTCCGCAATCCTATGTCAGCGTTTCACCTTTTGTTACCCGGGTCTCGATGTATCCGATCCACCTCTCCAGCACCGTCAGCTTCTCGTTGAGCATGGCCAGGTGCGAGCGGCAGGACATGTCGAAGGAATTGAGGAAGTCCGCGATCTTCTTAATGGAGCTGGTTGTCACCTCAATGTACTCGCGGTTGGCCCAGTCCTGGTGGATCTTGTGCTGAACCGGGTCCGCCTGGACCGACATGACCGACTGCTGGGAGCAGACCACCCCCCCTACTCCTCGGACTTATTGGATCAGCTCCATCCTCTTCCTTTTCGAGAGACTACCTCTGAGTCTATTCGCTCCTATTTGTGCTTCCTGTGAGCTTTGGCTGTGTTCTAGCCTGCTGTCAGCTACTGCCTTATCAGCCAGCCTGACAAGGTCAGGAAGAGCCGAAGTCTGCAGCTGCCGGCTCTCCCCTGCCTGGCTCACATCTAAGCCTCTCTGTTCCTGGCTGCTTTCTGCAGTTGGCTGCAAACCTTTGCTGGGAGCTGGCTCATTCCTGACACAAGGCAACGGAGGTTTGAGGATCAGAGTTTTCCTTCAGAGTGAGCCAGTGTGGTGTAGTGGTTAAGAGCGGTAGTCTCCTAATCTGGGGAACCGGGTTCGCGTCTCCGCTCCTCCACATGCAGCTGCTGGGTGACCTTGGGCCAGTCACACTTCTCTGAAGTCTCTCAGCCCCACTCATCTCACAGAGTGTTTGTTGTGGGGGAGGAAGGGAAAGGAGAATGTTAGCCGCTTTGAGACTCCTTAAAGGGAGTGAAAGGCGGGATATCAAATCCAAACTCTTCTTCTTCTTCTTCTCCTAGACGGGCTCCCTTCCCAGGTGGATGAGCCCCACCTGCCTCTCACTTCCCTCTGAAGCACATGCAGAAACCGCCTTCTTTCTTTCTTTCTTTCTTTCTTTCTTTCTTTCTTTCTTTCTTTCTTTCTTTCTTTCTTTTTCACTTTCAAAACACAGCACTTTTATTCTCCTAGAAAGGCAGCTGTATATTACGAAGCCTAAAGATGTGAAAACACACACACCGAGTGATTACTTCAGAAAGCAGTTTTGTGGTCTTAAAAGTTTTGCTGTTGTTGTTTAGTCGTTTAGTCGTGTCCGCCTCTTCGTGGCCCCCTGGACCAGAGCACGCCAGGCACTCCTGTCTTCCACTGCCTCCTGCAATTTGGTCAAACTCATCTTGGTAGCTTCAAGAACACTGTCCCACCATCTTGTCCTCTGTCATCCCCTTCTCCTTGCGCCCTCCATATTTCCCAACATCAGGGTTTTTTCGAGGGAGTCTTCTCTTCTCATGAGGTGGCCAAAGTATTGGAGCCTCAGCTTCAGGATCTGTCCTTCCAGTGAGCACTCAGGGCTGATTTCCTTCAGAATGGAGAGGTTTGATCTTCTTGCAGTCCATGGGACTCTCAAGAGTCTCCTCCAGCACCATAATTCAAAAGCATCCATTCTTCGGCGATCAGCCTTCTTTATGGTCCAGCTCTCACTTCCATACATCACTACTGGGAAAACCATAGCTTTTACTATATGGACCTTTGTTGGCAAGGTGATGTCTCTACTTTTTAAGATGTAACTTAAAAGTTACAGTCCTTTAAATGTTAAAGCTTTCTCCACAACCACACGTTCCTTTGATGTTTGGGTTATTGGAAACCAATTCACTGGACAGTTTGTCTTCTATATAGTCCATTTCAGTTCCTAGAAGTGTGAGTTGCGCTTTCGTTTCAATACTCTAACACCATCCTGTACTACTTCCTCATCAGAGCCCTCCTTTGATTTTGTGTATTCTAGTGTATAAGAAAGCCCATTTACAGTCTCTTGTACGGACACCAACTTTAATGCCTCCATGGTCATGTTTGTCTTTAAGCTGCTGTTTTATATTCTGCACAGATGGGGTCAGTTTAAGGGTGGCTCTAGTGGCTTGAATCTTCCTCTTGCTCACAGACCGAACAGTGGATCTGACCATGGAAGAGGCTATCTCTCCTGCTCCACCCTTTCAGCCCATCCTCCGAAGTTGTCCATGGACACGGCGGATGGAGTGACACCCAGAAACTGCCTTCTTGACCACTGGACCCCCACTTGGTCTAATCCACTCAATCTGCCAGATCCTGTCTTCACATGCAGGAGAGGTCCCACCTATCGGCTCCCCTCACCTGGTTTAGCTGGTCAGTTGACGTGTGATGGCCTGGGATTTGGACTCGGATGCTGAACCTGAGGGATCCCAGCCTGCACAGAATTCCCCGCCTCCAGAACCAGCTGAGCCGGGGCTTGAGCCTGAAGGGTCCTCACCTGTGCTGGATCCTCAGGTGCAGGCACCAGCTGAGTCTGCTCTGGCTCCGGAGGTGATGGAGGACCCATTGCCTGCAGGTGCTCCACTCTCAGCCTGTCAGGGGAAGGTGAGGTTGCCTCTGGGTCCAGTAACCCTCCAGCCTCTCCTGAGCTGCAGAGGCTCAGGGCAGAGAGGCGGAGGGAACTAAGTTCCCGCAGGAGGAGTGCTCGCCTCCAGGCCAGGAGAGGCGAGTCACCTGAGGATCGGGGCTGCCCTATGCCTTGGGGCAGATAAAAGCTGGCCAGTCCCAGTCCCAAGTTGCGGGAGCAACTTCATTGGTTGACAGTTCCTGCCTGAACCCTGTCCTGCTTTCCTGCCGGAGCTCCTGACCTCACCCGACTACCTGCCCTGCATCCAGCTTCAACTTTTACGGACAGCCTCCATACTACACCTTTGACCTCAGACTGGACTCGGACCTCGCCTCTCAGTTAGCCCCCGGGACCAGCCCACGAAGCCGTTCCTGGGGTGTGGGGTATGTTTGTGCATGCTTGCACAAGGAGCAAAGGGTCTGCCATGGACCCCCACTAACCCCCCTGGATTTATTCTGAATTGGTGTCCGATGACGAAAACTTCAGAAGCCGCCGCAGCTGTCAGACAAGATTAATAATAATAATAATAATAATTTATTATTCAAACCCCGCCCATTTGGCTGGGCTTCCCCAGCCACTCTGGGCGGCTTTCAACAAAATATTAAAATACCGTAATACATCAAACATTAAAAGCTTCATTAAAGAGGGCTGCCTTCAGATGTCTTCTAAAAGTCTGGTAGTTGTTCTTTTTGACATCTGATGGGAGGGCATTCCACAGGGCGGGTGCCACTACCGAGAAGGCCCTCTGCCTGGTTCCCTGTAACTTGGCTTCTCGCAGTGAGGGAACTGCCAGAAGGCCCTTGGAGCTGGACCTCAGTGTCCGGGCAGAACAATGGGGGTGGAGACGCTCCTTCAGGTATACTGGGCCTTTGAGGCCGTTTAGGGCTTTCAAGGTCAGCACCAACACTTTGAATTGTGCTTGGAAACGTACTGGGAGCCAATGTAGGTCTTTCAAGACCGGTGTTATGTGGTCTCGGCGGCCACTCCCCGTCACCAGTCTGGCTGCCACATTCTGGATTAGTTGTAGTTTCCAAATCACCTTCAAAGGGAGCCCCACGCAGAGCGCATTGCAGTAGTCCAAGCGGGAGATAACCAGAGCATGCACCACTCTGGCCAGACAGTCTGAAGGCAGATAGGGTCTCATCCTGCATATCAGATGGAGCTGGGAGACAGCTGCCCTGGGAACAGAAATGACCTGTGCCTCCATGGACAGCTGTGAGTCCAAAATGACTCCCAGGCTGTGCACCTGGTCCTTCAGGGGCACAGTTGCCCCATTCAGGACCAGGGAGTCCTCCACACCTGCCACATTCCACAGAAACACCCCATTGCATGTCAGCTCTCAAAGAGGACTCCGAGTCAAAGACGGAGATTCAATATAACTGGTGTCCAATTAGAGATAGCGGACTATTTGGCAAGTGTTCTGAGGGTGTCCGGCCGGTGGATCTGGCTTCCTTTCCAGGGGAAAATTCAGAGACGAAGATGGTTTTGTTATTAGCCGGTTGAAATGGTCTCAGTTATGTATTGAGTTGAATAGGATCCGAAATGCAGCAGTCTGATTGGTCCTAGAACAATGCAGCAGTATGATTGGTCTGCAGGAGCCACCCAATCCAGCTCCAGGTGCAATTGAACCCGCAACCTGATTGGCCTACAGGAGAATCCCAGAATTAGCCAATCATGTGTGACCCATTGTGCAAATAATGTATATAAAGCAGATATTTTGGGGGAACTTTAATGCCTCACTACTATGAGCTGAATAAAGAGCATGAAATCCACACTCGACTCTGAGTATATTTCAGTCTCTCTCTGTGCGAACTGTTGCGGCCAAAAGCTCTCTAGTCCAGACCTGGACAACCTCCCTCCTAGATTTCTCATTTTGGAGGCCTGGTCTGACACCACAGACACCAGTGAATTGCTGTGATTTTAAAAAAGGACCCTCTGTGGTTCAGTGTGGAAAGACCCTTTAATTACATTCTGCTTCCAGCCCAGCAACTTGTCACGGCCTCATTAACACCCTAGTGGGTGGTGGAGACACAACCAGCTTGGCTCCCTATGAATCTGGCTTTGACAAAAATCACAGCGCTCAAGGCAGCTGCCTAACACAACGACCATGCTTAAAAGTCTCCTCCTGGGCTTGTTTATCAGCTTGGGGTGTTACTCGAAGGCTGAAGGGAGGTCGGAAACAACCCCCCCCCCGAAAACAGGGAGCAAGCGATCAGTGGCCAAATGCCCCAAAGAATCTAGGGATCCAGATAGACTGCCGCTGGAGCTGGAGGCTCCGTAAGAACCTAAGAAAAGCCCAACCGCTGGATCAGGCCAAGGGCCCATCTAGTCCAGCGTCCTGTACTCACAGTGGATACCCACAAGTTGGATATGTGGGGAACTGGGTGTCAGTCTGGGGTGTGTCTAAAGAGCCACCCATGCCTAGCTGCTGACAGGTGGATATTTGTGGATGTAATAAATGAAATTTAAGGTCTTATATATATAATAAATGTACCAACCAAGCACGTACATAGATCAGCACAGGAAGACCGACCTGAAACCATTTTGACTCCCAAGCTGACCAAATGTTTTCTCTGCAAAGTCAAAGGAAAATGGAAAAGCCTCCCCATTGTCTTTTCCTTCACAAATCCTGTCTTAAGGGTATGTCTGTCTGTGTTTGAATAGGGTGAGCCTGTGACCTGGCTCAGGAACTAAGTATTTGTCATTACAAAAGAGGGGCCAGGCTCCCCAGGGTATCCAATCAAGTGACCATTAACAGGTAACCTGCCAGACAGGAGATAAACAACGCACTCAGATTTCTGTTGTAGACCGCCTTTTCTGTGATGTAGGTATGATGTATGGAGGGGTGGTGGTCTTAGATTATACATCTTCTGTGATGTGTGTATGATGTATGGAGGGGTGGTCTGGAGCTCCAGGGCAGGGCATTTAAACTATCTATATAAGGCCTTGCGCACCATTTTTCTGGGTCCTCCTCCTTTCCTGCGTGTGAGGGGAGCACCCTGTTGCAACAGTTCAATAAAGATCAGGCTTACTAGCTGCTTTGCTTCTCAATATTCTCTGGTTGGCCTCTGTTCTTTTCTCCGACTGATGGAGAACCTACAAAGGACTCTATAAGGGCTCTTGTGTCCCCCATAAGGGAATAAGGGCAGATTTTCGTTTATTACAATACCCACATGTTGGATATGTGGGGAACTGGGTGTCAGTCTAGGGTGTCTGAAGAGCCACCCATGCCTAGGGAAGGAGAGCTGCTGACAGGTGGACATTTGTGGAAAGGCAGCGTTGCTTAGCGGTTAGAATGTCAGATGAGGATTTGACACCCCCACCCCACTTGGCCCTGCAGTGCCCTTGTTGACCATGGGGCCCAGTCACTGCCCCTCAACCTGACCTACCTCACAGGGGTGTTGTGGAAATTAAATGAGGACGGGGAGAACCATGTACCCCAACTTGAGCGCAGCAAATAACAATTGGTGGAGGGAGCAAGAATCAGAGGCTGCCTCGTTTGGTTTTAATTTCAAATTCCAGGTTCTCTAGGAGTGCAAATTACAGATGCCGAGCGTCTTAAGGACGGATCCCCGCTTTCCTTCAGATGCCAAAAATTCAAAGCAGCCCACCACAAAAGAGTCAGAAACGATAGAGCACAATCAAGGTGTCAATCACTATCAAAGACAAAACGCGACAGGAACCATTGGGAGCCGGCAGAAAAATAAAAAAAAGTCAGGGAGGAATGACAGGAAACATTTTGTGGTGAAACATCAGCGGGAGATACAGACCCGAAAAGGCCTCTCACCCTGTCTGGATGAGACAGTGTCCGTACTTAGAGGGAGCAAGGCGGGCTCCTCTAAGAAGGAGATTTGCAGAACAAAAACTACACATTTAGAGAGGGAACCTTTGACGTTTGTCAGAATGCACAGGAAGGAAGGAAGGAAGGAAGGAAGGAAGGAAGGAAGGAAGGAAGGAAGGAAGGAAGGGAGAAAGATGGTCGCTCACCTGCATTCAAGTACCTGGAGAAGTTCACACCCATGCACTAAGCTTTGTTGTTGTTTAGTCGTTTAGTCGTGTCCGCCTCTTCGTGAGCCCCTGGACCAGAGCACGCCAGGCACTCCTGTCTTCCACTGCCTCCCGCAGTTTGGTCAAACTCATGCTGGTAGCTTCGAGAACACTGTCCAGCCATCTCGTCCTCTGTCGTCCCCTTCTCCTTGAGCCCTCCATCTTTCCCAACATCAGGGTCTTTTCCAGGGAGTCTTCTCTTCTCCTGAGGTGGCCAAAGTCTTGGAGCCTCAGCTTCAGGATCTGTCCTTCCAGTGAGCACTCAGGGCTGATTTCCTTCAGAATGGAGAGGTTGGATCTTCTTGCAGTCCATGGGACTCTCAAGAGTTTCCTCCAGCACCAGAATTCAAAAGCATCCATTCTTCGGCAATCAGCCTTCCGGTGTCATAACTTTTATATGCCTGTTGTCTTTGTCCATGGAGTTTTCTTGGCAGGGATACTGGAGTGGATTGCCGGTTCCTGCTCCAGGTGTTTCAAGTTTAGTCAAAACTCTCCTTCAGTCTGAACATAGGGATGGAAAGATTCATCATTACAGAGGCCCGGTTGTTAAAATTATCGGACTTAACTGAGATGGAGAAATTGACGTGTTTCATCACAGAAAATCATTATCAACATTTGCTAAAGATTGGAAACTCCTTATAGACATAATCTGGGATTGAGGACTGAAGATAATATTGGTTTATAGAAATAGGAATTAAGGTTGTCATATTTTGAAGAGCAAAGGAAAGGATGCTATGATGGCCATTCAAAGCAAATAAATGCAATTTGTTTCGAATTTCCCCCCTGAAAAAGGGGACATGGTCTGGAAAAAAAGGACACATGGCAACCCTAATTGGTGTTACCTTGGAATGCATGTGTTGGACAATTTTCTACCTATAGCTGACAGACTAAGAATTAGAAGTTCTCTTTTTTTATTCCCTCTTTCTTTTTTTCTTTTCTTTTTCCTTTTGGTTTGTGTTTTTATTCAGGTTAGTTTTTATATTATCCTTGATGAAATGATATTTGATACAGTGGTACCTCGGGTTAAGAACTTAATTCGTTCTGGAGGTCCGTTCTTAACCTGAAACTGTTCTTAACCTGAGGTACCACTTTAGCTAATGGGGCCTCCTGCTGCCGCCGCACGATTTCTGTTCTCATCCTGAAGCAAAGTTCTTAACCTGAGGTAATATTTCTGGGTTAGCAGAGTCTGTAACCTGCATTGACCTTTGTGTTCTTTCCCCCAAAACTTTAACAAAATCCATTTAAAATAAAAAAATCTGAACACAGGGAGCCGAGTCAGGGGCGTAGCCCATCCAAGCCCATCCACACGGACTGGCAGCATGGAAGGAAGGAAGGAAGGAAGGAAGGAAGGAGAATCTGAAAAACCAGGGCTGATTTCTATCTCCTTCCTTCCTTCTTTCCTTCCTTCCTCTCTCTCTCTCTCTCTCTCTCTCTCTCTCTCTCTCTGGCAACTGCTCAGTCAGTCTCTACCCTGTTTGCCAATTGCCGCCCAGTGCTTACCTTTTCTCTCCCCCCCCAACAACACGAAAATAAGATATGTCAAGAGAGATGACCTGGATTGCTAATTACAGCCTGGAGGCTAGGATGCGATGCTAATTGGCACCGCTCTCCTTCAGGCAAACAAAGCCCTCCCTGATCAACGCCTGCTTCCTGGGGAAGCATCTCTCGTTTCCAAATCAGAGCTGCCATGGCGCTCTCTCTCTCTCTCTCTCTCTGCCTGCCTACCCAACTACAAACACTTTATATGGGCTGTGGCCCAGTTTGAGTGGTGGGGGTGGTGGTGGTCCAGGGCTCCCTTGTTTGCTTTTGGAGTGCGTTCTGGTTGCTAGGCAACATTGCCTCCTCCTGCTCCATGGGTACCACTGGGCTGGGCCAGCAAGGATGTCAGAAAAGGACCGAGCCACCTTCCAGGGATGCTTTGGCTGCGATTCCGGCATCGCAGGGCGGTTGGACTAGATGGCCCTCGGGGATCCCTTTTCAACATTACAGCTCCCCGTTTCTACGACAGGGTCGCCCCTCAATAGCTGGATTCCTTTCCGCTGCTCTGCAACGACCTGGGATGCACAACGATGCAAGCTGGGACAGGAAAGTAGAAGCAGGGATGGTGACCCAGGTGTCCAGAATTGTTTTTGAGTTTGGGGTGGCTGTTTCTCAGGGATTGTTTAGCTGGGGTTCCTGCATTGCAGTGGGTTGGGCTAGATAATAATAATAATAAAATTTTATTTATATCCCATGCTTCCCAGCTGAAGCCAGGCTCAGAGCGGCTAACAACAATAAAAGTAACACAACATTCTAAAATCAATTCATTTTAAAATCAATTCAAAATCAAATTAATGGCAACCATTGGGCTAGAGTTCTGTGAGGATTACCAAAGGAGGGGGTCAGACTGTGCCTTGGCCAAAGGCCTGGTGGAACAGCTTTGTCTTGCAGGCCCTGCGGAAAGATGTAAAGTCCCGCAAGGCCCTGGTCTCTTGTGACAGAGCGTTCCACCAAGTCGGGGCCAGTACTGAAAAGGCCCTGGCTCTGGGTGAGGCCAGCCTAACCTCCCTGTGGCCTGGGATCTCCAAAATGTTTTTATTTGAAGACTGTAAGGTCCTCCGTGGGACATACCAGGAGAGGTGGTCCCGTAGGTATGAGGGTCCTAGGCCGTATAGGGCTTTAAAGGTTCAAACCAGCACCTTCAACCTGACCCTGTACTCCACCGGGAGCCAGTGCAGTTGGTAAAGCACTGGGTGGATGTGATTTCACGGTAAGAACCCCGTAAGGAGTCTCGCCACGGCATTCTGCACCCGCTGGAGTTTCTGGGTCAGTCTCAAGGGCAGCCCCATGTAGAGCGAGATACAATAATCCAGTCTGGAGGTGACCATCACGTGGATCACAGTGGCTAGGTCAGGGTGAGAGAGGTAAGGAGCCAACTGCTTAGCTTGGCAGAGATGAAAAAACGCCGCCTTTGTTATAGCTGCAATCTGCGCCTCCTTGGAAAGGGAGGTGTCCAAGATTACACCCAAACTCTTAACGGACGGTGCTGGCACTAATTGCGCCCCCACAAGAGATGGGAGTTGCCCCCCCAATCCCATATCTTCCCAACCAGCCAAAGGACCTCTGTCTTTGAAGGATTTAACTTCAACCCGCTCCCACGTAACCTTTCAGGCACAGCTTCCAAACATCTGATCAGTATGTCTGGGGCCGAGTCAGGATGGCCATCCATCAACAGATAGAGTTGGGTGATCGACCATGTCGAAGCTGCTGACAGGTCTAAAAGAATCAGCAGCCCCAACCCGCCTCGATCCAGCTGCCTACGGAGATCATCTGTTAGGGCGACCAGAGCCGTTTTGGTCCCATGACCAGAGCGGAAGCCGGATTGGAATGGATCCAGAGCATTACAGCTCCCCGTTTCTACGACAGGGCCACCCCTCAATAGCTGGATTCCTTTCCGCTGCTCTGCAACGACCTGGGATGCACAACGGTGCAAGCTGGGGCAGGAAACTAAAAGCGGGGGGGGGGGGACCCAGGTGTCCGGAATGGTTTTTGAGTTTGGGTGGCTGTTTCTCAGGGATTGTTTAGCATTGCAGCGGGTTGGGCTAGATGACCTCTGGGGTTCCCTTCCAACTCCAGGATTCAATGAAAGCCACACTACATATGCACAGCAGGCAGAAGTGATGTCACGAGGACAAATCTGGGAATGGCACAGTTGCAGACTCCTTCCCAGAAGTCTGTGCTTACCAGGAACCAGAAGAAAACACCCCCCATCACCACGCAGATACTCCTGATCTTGCCTCATTCTCCCTCCCTGAGTCACTCCTTGCAGGGCCTAGAGAGGATTAGCTAATGCTGGAGGGAGGTGTCGTTGTTGGCAGACACCAACTGGGACTCATCAGAAGATGCCTTCTAATGAATCAGACCATCTAAATGAGTATTAGCTGCAAAGCAGCTGGCAAGGCCACCACCACACATACCAAGTCACAGGCAGAAGAGGAATAAATATATATATATTTTTTAAAAAAATGTCCAGTAGCATCTTGTTGTTGTTTAGTCATTTAGTCGTGTCCGCCTCTTCGTGACCCCCTGGACCAGAGCACGCCAGGCCCTCCTGTCTTCCACTGCCTCCCGCAGTTTGGTCAAACTCATGCTGGTAGCTTCGAGAACACTGTCCCACCATCTCGTCCTCTGCCGTCCCCTTCTCCTTGTGCCCTCCATCTTTCCCAACATCAGGGTCTTTTCCAGGGAGTCTTCTCTTCTCATGAGGTGGTCAAAGTACTGGAGCCTCAGCTTCAGGATCTGTCCTTCCAGTGAGCACTCAGGGCTGATTTCCTTCAGAATGGAGAGGTTTGATCTTCTTGCAGTCCATGGGACTCTCAAGAGTCTCCTCCAGCACCAGAATTCAGAAGCATCCATTCTTCGGCGATCAGCCTTCTTTATGGTCCAGCTCTCACTTGAGATCAACTAAGTTTGTTCTGGGTATAAGCTTTCGTGTGCATGCACATGAAAGCTTATACCCAGAACAAACTTGGTTGGTCTCTAAGGTGCTACTGGACCATTTTAAAATTTTTATTTATTTCGACTACGTCAGACCAACACCGCTACCTACCTGAAGGCAAAAGAAGAGTCTTTCATAGCCCTACCTGGAAATGCTGCCAGAGGTTGAGGATGGGGACCTGAAGAACATGAGAAGAGCCCAGATGCTGGATCACACCGATGGCTCACCTAGTCCAGCATCTTCTTCTCACACTGGTCCAATACCCCTAAGGACCTAGGAATCTAGACAGACTGCCTCTGGACCTGGAGGTCCCAAAAGAAGAGCCGTACTTCTGTCTGCCTCCTGTGGCAGCGAGTTCCACAGTTTAACTCTACACTGTATGAAGAAACATATTTGTTCTTAAGATCTTATCACGTGATGTTCAGAAAACCACAATGCTGTTTCAGTTCATTGCATACATATTTTGGGAGTCTTCATTTAAATCTTGTTCACCTTGCATTTTACAAAGTTGCCCCCACACCAAGTGCTAAACATACAGGATGAGGGTTCAATTTGTTAAGACTAGTACCAAACCAAAATAAGACATTTACACATACTGTACATTTCACAAGTAACACAAGGAAGTCTGGACAATGTAACAGTTTAGAATTATTTTGTAGCCAACACATAAAATAAAAGAAATTGGCCTAGCCAATGATATTTAGTTATATTGCATGTACAAAGGCAATGAAGATTATAACCTGCTTGGTTTTGTCATTAGCACAATAAAAACAAGCATTCAGGTTGGGGTCTGGAAAAATAGGATAACTTAATTACTTTTCTTGCACACAAAGGGAGAACAACAATTGTATGAAGAAGGAATTCCTTGGGTGACCACAAGTTAGTGTTATGGGAGAGGGAAGGAAACTTCTCTCTGATCCTGGCTGCCCAACAGTCTCCGGCCACCGTGGTCAATGGTCTGGGGTGATGGGGGCTGGAGCCCCACAGGAAACCCCCCCCCCCCACTTGTGAGAAGTCGACCATAGGCATAGCCAGGATTTATTTTAGGGGCGCAGGCTTTATGTTGGTGCAGGAAACCCCCCAATCATTCAGTTTGTACAAACACAACACACACACACGACATACGCGACGCTTCTGTTATAAATTCATAGAAAATCAGCCGTACATCGGATTTGTACCCTTCCACTTTTATTTTACACCATGAAGGAAGGACTATCAAAGGGGGGAGACTTGACACAAGGCAACCATAATCCCCCAAGCCCGCAGCGAGCCCTACCCAGTTGGCATGCCAGCCTTGATGGTCCTAGACAGAAGATCATTACACTCACGAAGGACCTGCATATGGAAGTGGATTCAGTGTGGACTGAAACAAAGGACAGTGACCAGCCCTTCCCTCTGGGGGCAGGAAACAGTGAACTCCTCTTTGTCCTCAGGAATGTAATCATGGGGAGGGGGAAAGGAGGAACCGGACAGGTGACGAGATACTCAGGTTACCACCACAACTCCTCCCTGAACCCCTCCTCTTTGTGATGTGTCAGTGATGTAGTCATGATGTAGTTATGATGTAGTCTTAGGGGTGTAGTAGCTAATAAAAGTTTGGGGTTTCCATCTTGTTCCACCTTGTGGCAGGTGGGAGTCCTGTCACGACAGTCTTCAATCAAGACCAAGCCTCCTGGCTGCTGTTTTGCTCTGGTATTCCTGGCTGTTGTCCTTGTTTTTTTGTCCAAGGGAGCCCTCAGATTTCTCCGTTAACAATGTTGTGAGGAGGACAGAACAGAGTTGTCTGTGATGCAGTTGGTCAGTTAGTTTAATATTTTTATTTATTAACTTGATGGGGGGGGGGGGCTAGCTGCACCTCTGCTCCCCGCCCCGGCTACACCCATGAAGGTGACTTCTTTATTTTTCCTCAACTTTGAACAGCAGCCTGACCCCGGGTTCAAGTCCCCCCTGCAGAAGCTACGCTTCATTCCTAGGTTCCTGAATGATTGCCTTGCAAACTGATTTTTCTACAACCTGGCCTGAATCAAAGGAGAGGAGGCTGAGATCTGGCAGAAGAAGCTCCTTGGCAGTGCAATTTGATGACAGGCAAGCCCAGCACAAGAAATAAATTTAAGAGGGAGGAATGCTTTGCATATGTTAAGGGGAAGGGAAGTCGGGCACTTCAGGAAAAAATGATTACCTTGATCTGGGGGTCCCTCCCCCCTTTTCTTCCCGGTGCTAGCCTGATCAGTGGGGGGAAGGGACAGTTGTGATTCCTGCATTGCAGAGGGTTGGACTAGATGACCCTGTGATTCTGTGGGTCTTGGAAGATTAGGCAGTGGGACAGGAGTGCAGGTTGCACACTTTTGAGCAAGGAACCAGGAGAAAAGAGCATGTTCCATGGAGGCTATGCACATTGACCAGAGAATGTACAAAATTCAGTCGAACCTAGCTCCTTCAACCATTCCTCATAGGGCTTTGTTTCCAGTTCATTGAATATCTTAGTTGCCCTCCTCTGAACACGTTCTAGCTTGTTAACATTCTTCTTAAATTGTGGTTCCCAAAACTGGACACAGTATTCCAGATGGGTTCTGAAGAAGGCAGAATAGAGTGGGACTATGACTTCCCTTGATCGGGATACTAGATTTCTGTTGATGCAGCCTGGAATAGCGTTAGTTAGTTAGGTTGGTTGGTTGGGGGTTTTTTTGCTGCTGCATCACAATTCTCATGTTCAGTTTGTGGGCCGCTAAAAAGCAGAGACATCACCTTGCCAACAAAGGTCCGTATAGTTTCCCCAGTAGTGATGTATGGAAGTGAGAGCTGGACCACAAAGAAGGCTGATTGCCGAAGAATGGATGCTTTTGAATTATGATGCTGGAGGAGACTCTTGAGAGTCCCATGGACTGCAAGAAGATCAAACCTCTCCATTCTGAAGGAAATCAGCCCTGAGTGCTCCCTGGAAGGACAGATCCTGAAGCTGAGGCTCCAAGACTTTGGCCACCTCATGAGAAGAGAAGACTCCCTGGAAAAGACCCTGATTTTGGGAAAGATGGAGGGCACAAGAAGAAGGGGACGACAGAGGACGAGATGGTGGGACAGTGTTCTCGAAGCTATGAACATGAGTTTGACCAAACTGTGGGAGGCAGGGGAAGACAGGAGTGCCTGGCATGCTCTGGTCCAGGGGGTCACGAAGAGTCGGACACGGCTAAACCACAACAAGACCCCCAGATCCTTTTCACATGTACTGGCTAGTAAGCCAGGTGTCCCCCATCCTATATTTGTGCATCTGGTTCTTCCTGACTGAGTGCAGAACCTGACATTTGTCCCTACTGAAATTCATTTTGTTAGCTTGTGCCCAGTTCTCCAATCTGTGAATCCTGATTCTGTCTCCTTTGGCATTAGCTACCCTTCACAGTTTGGTGTCATCTGCAAATTTGATGAGCATCCCCTCAATTCTTTCGTCCAAGTCATTTATAAAGATGTTGATCAACAATGGGCCCAGGACAGAACCCCGCTGGTCACTTTTCCCCAGGATGACAAGGAACCATTAAGGAGTACTCTTTGGGTTCAGTCAGTCAACCAGCTACAAATCCACTTAACAGTTACCTTGTCCTGACCCACTGGTTGAAGACCTATGCTGTACAGCAGGGGTTCCCAAACTTTTTTGGGGGCGGGGCAATCCCTCTTGAGCTCTACAAATTGATGATGATGATGTATATATATAATTTATATACCACCTAACAACAACAACAACAGCAACAACAATTTATTATTTATACCCCGCCCATGTGGCTGGGTTTCCCCAGCCACTCTAGGCAGCTTCCAACAAAATATTAAAAATACATTAGAACATCAGTCAGGACCTTCACCGCCCTCACTGGTTCTGATTTAAAAGAGAGGTAGAGCTGGGTATCATCCGCATACTGATGAACACCCAGCCCAAAGGACTTCTTCACACGGCGCAGAGTTTACCTGTGGAACTCCTTCCCCCAGCAGGTAGTGATGACTGCCAGCTTGGATGGTTTTTTGAAAAATGGATTAGACATATTCAGTTCTCAAAACTTTATTGGCATATCGACAAGATTCCGGGAAGCTTCAGTGCAATAAAATCACTCAGCAAAATCTGCATCTCACAATTCTTCTTTTATTCTTTTTCGGCGATCTCTCGTAGCCAAGTAAGATTGTCTTCCATAAACACGGTTTTAACAAGGAGTCCGTAAGTGACTGTGGAGGCCAATTCTGAACCCACACGTCCTTCCACAGTAGGGACAGAGGTTTCCAGGCGGGAGCTGATCATGGTGTGGATTTGCCAAATGTGCATTCCTCTTAGTCCATTTCTCCCTTTCGCCCTGAGTTTTTGCTTCTTCAGAATCACTGACACCTTTGGTAAAGGCTATTATCCAACTGGAACACTCACAGGCCAGTGATTCTCAATTGTCAGTGTTTATACTAAAAATTTTAAGGTTTGCCTTCAGAGCATCTTTAAACCTCTTTTGTTGTCCGCCGGCATTACGCTTTCCATTCTTAAGTTGAGGATAGAGCAGTTGCTTTGGAAGACGATCATCAGGCATCCGATAATGTATAACGTTTGCAAATCCTCATTCTGTGTTGCAGAAACTTGGTTTAATATTAACAACAACAACAACAGCAACAACAACAACATTGAATTTTTGCTTCTACAGAACAGGTCTTCTGTGACTTGGTCCCAAGTTCTCACTTGGTTCCAAGTTCTCAGCACATCTGGAGGGCACTAGGTTGGCAAATGGTGCCCTATAAAGTTATTCACTGGGCTAATGCCCTCCGACTCTGCGATTCACCCTCTGGGATGGGGGTGTGATCAGATCCACCCATTGCTTAGTGCTACCGCTGCCTCCCGTCCTATCAATCAGTTATTGATCAGGAGGACGTTTCTCATTAACTACCCCGGATAAGCAGCTGGTTCTGCTGCCATCGCCTGAAGCCTTCCGGATTTATGCGTCATCTTGAGGAAAGGCATCGAGCGACCAGGGGCAGCCCTGTTTTATTAAGTAGGCAACCCCTCCCCAAAAAATATCCAGCATTAGCACAGACAATAAACACAATTCCCCGAGGATTTGTAGGCTATGATAGCAGGCGCTGCAAATCAAATACCACGCGGAGTCAGGAGGCAGCGTGAATACTTACACAATCCCGGAAAGGATAACCAATGAGATATTAAATTATTGTCAGAAAACCCAGGAGCAGATATACAGGGAAAGAAGAAAACAAGACTTTATTCCAAGCGCGTCTGAGTAAAGTTTTCTAATGCGGAACTGTCTTCACAAGCCGAAAAGTGAAACAAGCTAGGGGAAAAAAATGGGATCTATTCTGGACTGTACAGAAGTGGGTGGTAGCAACCCCTGGGTGGGGGGTGGGGCACTGGGAAGCGAGAGAGAGCCAATTGGGTGCTGGAGATGTGAATGATTGCCAGTCTTTGGAAAGCTGGTATCACTGGTTCAATTTCAAGCATTTGGTTGAGTTGATGGAGCTAAATAGTTTTGATTGGGTTGTTGCTGTTTTTGTTTTGATTATGTACTTTGTGGTTTCATATTCTGATTTTGTGCTGTGGACCACCTTGAATGCCTGGAGGCGGTTGGAGGGTGGATGGCAGCTAATGGATTGAGGTTGAATCCTGACAAGACAGAAGTACTGCTCTTGGGGGACAGGGGGTGGGTGGGGGTGGGGGACTCCCTGGTCCTCAGTGGGGTAACTGTGCCCCTGAAGGACCAGGTGTGCAGCCTGGGAGTTATTCTGGACTCACAGCTGTCCATGGAGGCGCAGGTCAATTCTGTGTCCAGGACAGCTGTCCACCAGCTCCATCTGGTACGCAGGATGAGACCCTCCCTGGCCGCGGACTGTCTTGCCAGAGTGGTGCATGCTCTAGTCATCTCCCGCTTGGACTACTGCAATGCGCTCTATGTGGGGCTACCTTTGAAGGTGACCCGGAAACTGCAATTAATCCAGAATACGGCAGCTAGACTGGGGACTGGGAGCGGCCGCCGAGACCATGTAACACCGGTTTTGAAAGACCTACATTTGGCTCCCAGCACGTTTCCGAGCACAATTCAAAGTGTTGGTGCTGATCTTTAAAGCCCTAAACAGCCTCAGTCCAGTATACCTGAAGGAGCATCTCCACCCCCATCGTTCTGCCCGGACATTGAGGTCCAGCTCCAAGGGCCTTCTGACGGTTCCCTCATTGCAAGAAGTGAGGTTACAGGGAACCAGGCAGAGGGTCTTCTCGGTGGTGGTGCCCGCCTTGTGGAACGCCATCCCATCAGGAAATAAACAACTATCTGACTTTTAGAAGACATCTGAAGGCAGCCCTGTTTAGGGAAGTTTTTAATGTTTGAAGTTTTATCGTGTTTTTAATATTCTGTTGGCAGCTGCCCAGAGTGGCCGGGGAAACCCAGCCAGATGGGAGGGGTATAAATAAATTATTATTATTATTATTATTATTATTATTATTATTATTATTCCTTCATCTGTTCTGAAACTTCCAGCTTCATTCAGGTTCGTTGGATGTCCCCAAGTTCCAGGGAGGGAAACCTTTCTCTATCTGCTTTCTCTATCTGAAACTTTTCTCTATCTGATGCGGAATTTTATAAGCTTCGATTATGTCGCCTCTTTCTGCTCCTAACTCAAAAGCCCCAAGGCTGCAGCCGTTCTTCACAGGGGAGTAGCTTCGCCCCTTGTTGCAGGAAACCTCCCCCCCCCCCAATCATTTAGTTTGTACAAACTCGACACACACACATTCACACACGACATACGCGATGTTTCTGTTATAAATTCACAGAAAATCAACCGTACATCGGATTTACACCGTTCCACTTTTATTTTGTTCCATGAAGAAAGGACTATCAAAGGGGGATGGTTTGATACAGGGTGGCCATAATCCTTTGAGCGTACCAACACATACTCAGGAGCCCTGCCCAGTTGCAATGCCAACGTTGATGGTCCCAGACAGAAAACCATCAAGGTCACAAAGAACTTGCATATGGGAGTGGATTCAACATGGACTGGAACAAAGGACAATGATCAGATCTTCCCTCTGGGGGCAGGAAACTGCCAGCTCCCCTTTGTCCTCTGGAAATGACTCATGGGGAGGGGGAAAGGAGGAACCGGCCAGGTG